TTTCGAATTCTACTGCTTCTATCTCTATTTTAAAGTGTACACACTCTTCCATAAAGGAGCCTCTTCGTCGAGTCGCTATTGGATTCTACGGTGAAATTTTTTAGATAGTGAACACTGTGTATGTTTATCGCGTCGGAGGAGATTAAAATAAGGGAAATGTGTGACGTGAGCGTTTTTTTTTTAAAGGTAATATTTATTCATGCTATACACAGCATGCAACTGCTGTTTCAGCATTATTTAGGTGTAAAAGAATGTTAATCCATTAGTATTTCTAATGAGCAGGGGCGATTCTAGAAGTTTTTTTTTCTCAATCACCCTTAAAGAGATATATCCAAGGACGGATGTAATTACAGGTTTAAGAAATATATGCTTCGATTCAGAGAAATATTGTTTCGGCCTATTTAAACATACAGTTCATTTACAGAACAGAATGAACCATCTGATTTCTCAAGAGACATTAAAACGAATTCGGCCGAACTGCAGAAACATTACTGCCATAACTTTTCGTGTCCGTCTCGGGTACGACATGAGGCCTCCGCGAGGACGAATACACTTATATTCTAAAAATGCCATAACACTTTCCTGACACTTGCATTGAATGCTCAATCCATGTCATTAGGACTCAATACTCCTATTTTATCCATAATGCAAATTTTATCATTTGGAAACAGATAATCTACTTCTATTAATATATACATCAAGTTCCTTTTTTCAGTTCAATGAGGCCATATAATAGGGAACAATACCTATGTCAAGACGCATCCCTCTAGACCATTCAAGAACGGAGTTAGAGCACAGAGGATGGAACTTCTCCCTCTTTTCAAGGAAAGTCTTCCCCTTTTAACATGTATCATGTTAACGTGAAAATTAGGGTGTCAGGAAAATAGCCCGTAATGTACAGCTAAAAAAAGGGGAAATGCCCTAACCATAAGACTATCCTTTAAAACTATTTAGCTAAGAGTTTAAAGTGACCATAGGAAAAGAGGAACTATATAATAACGTGATCTACATGAGTCAATATCAGAGAAGAAAAGAAACAAAAGAGGAGGCCAAGTTACACACAATATCACCCCGGGGTGACCACAGATTTGCGTTATGGATCATACACCCGCGGCAGTACCAGATGGATGTATATTCATTCAGGGATAAAACATATCCATTCCATTTCTTAGAAAGAAGCACGGTCTATACTAAGGAACCCACAGCCGCTACTCACTCTAGCGGCCCTCCTCTCGCCCCTAGTGTCCTACCGACTCTTCACGTCAAACTCATAATGCAATCCACGATTTCTTTCCAGACCTTGCCATTTTTGAGGTTCCAAATAACAGAACACTTTATAACCTGCAGTCTTTGCACCTCTTTATCGTTTATATGAAGGTGCTCATAAAAGCATGACGATACACAATAGCTGCACAGAATAACCTCATTAGAATCAATGATCAAGAGAAGAATATATTGGTGCACGTTCTCTCTTGTCTCAGCTCTTAATGTTTTTGGAGAACTCAAAATGGAATTTGCACATGATCACCTCCTTAGGTCGAATTTTACGATACAGAGCAAGATACTTCCTATAGGCATACATTTCAAGGAGATATCTGTTAATAAGTGTCACTTTTCAAGACTAATCAGCAGTGAAATTCAACAATGGGAAAGCGACGCGCGAAAATAAAGGCGCATTTCTAGATAGTACCCCCCTGATAATTATCATGGGAGAGATGAGGATAAACCCCCGGATGCTTAGCCTTGTATATTTAATCCGTCACATTCACAGTTCCTGTAAGATACTTAAAGGGATATCTTCTTCCACACATAAACCGACGACCTCAGTGGAACGGGGCCTGCTCCTCTATACATTGTTATCCCCGAATGGAGGACTATATTCTGGATGATAAGAATTACGACCATTTCAGCTATTCTCAGTGTCCTTAATATACTGCATTACATAATAGGCGGAATGGTCCATGCTCTTTACATTATCCGTCAACTTTTCAAATCGATATTTGACACGAAGACACCGTAATTCTAATCCAGAAAAGGAATATCCATGTTGATAAAAATATTATACCTAGCCATATTCATGGACGCCGTAATTCTTCTCATCCTTCACTAGGGCGTTATCCTTCTTTATTACGCCTACATTTTGTATTAAGAAGCTGAGTGTTGCCTGACTTTTGATTTTATGAAGTATTATTATAATGCCTAAACGGCTTCTTACTATACATCCGTAGATTTGTAATAGTAACACATCTTCATTAAAAAATGAATTGTGTCCTGGTGGCCATCATGCAGACTTCCTCTCAAGCATATTTTTTTATTACAAGATTCCTTTTCGACCATGATATGAGGTAAAGAAACACAAAAATAATGCTAACAGAAATTACGAAAAGGGAAGGACAATGAAGAACAACAGAGAGGCGTTACTGCCTCGCGCCAGG